AATTTATATTTAAAAATTAAAAATTTAAAGTTGAAACCCCAATTTAATCAGAAAATTATTGTACAAACCTCTGATTTGATTTTTAAAATTAAAAAAATCCTTAATTTAATCTTTAAATTATTGTACGGACCTCAATTTAGTCCATACTAATTATTAATTGAACCCCTGATTGGTTTTTCTATATAAAAAATAGTTAACGTGTCTGTTACTTAACAGTAAAAAATAATAACTTAACGGTTACGTATCATGTTAATAACGAAACACGTTAGTTATTTTTTGTGCAAAATGATCAATTTGAGATAAATTGATAAACAGTAAGGATCAAATTGAGGTTCGTATAATAATTTAAGAATTAAATTGAAAATTTAACCAAAATTTTAATTTAAAATTTAAAATTTTGATTAGTTTTTAAATTTAAATATTAATATTTCATAAGATAAATTTTTAAATTTTAAATTAAATTTTAATAAAATAAAATGATTTAATTTAAAAATTAAAATTTTAAATTTTTAAAAGCAAAAATTAATATAAAATTTTTTTAAAAAAAATAAAAAAATAACAATTAATTTAAAATAAAAAATAACGGAGAGCGTGTAGATAACGTGCGGGGTTGAGGATGTGGGAAAACTTGACCTAATTAAATATGATGACGTCACCGTATTTACTGAGGGCCCTACAGTATTAAAGTAACAATATTCTGTTCAACAGAGGAAAAAGACAAACGAACACACAGATCAGCAATCCACCGACGTGGCACGGCTCAATGAAATTCCCAACTTTCTAGAGCCCCACATCATATCCACGTGTACGGCGCACTTTAATTCTATCATGTTCCTCCACCGCCACGTAATCTCAACCAAAACCCCCGGGACCACCGCCCGCCCCCCCAAAATCTCCAAAAATCTTCTGCATCACGATTCTCTGCCAATCAGCAGCCGTCAATTTCCCTCAAATTGACCATATTGTCCTTACCTCGTTTTTTACAAAAGGGTAAAAAATGTACAGTGCGGTGCCACTTATTGTTGTATTATTATTATTTTTATTATTTTTATTTTTTACGTCCCCGGGAATACGTTGGGCCGCGCTACACAGAATCTAAAGATCTTCCTTTTTAGATTAACGGAAAAGACAGTGGATTTAGTTTGAAGCATATCCAGAGATTAGATTCTCTAGTGGCGGATAAGCATGTTAATCGTACTTTCTTATATCGGCGCGTGACCCCACTCGCGCTGACTAATTTTTTTTTTGAAATTAAAAACTTAAAAAAAACAAACCAAAAAAAAACCGTACGGGTTTTCTTTCACTTTCTTATATGGCAGACGTGCCGGAAAGGAAGACAGGAGAAATGGCAAGACAATGACTGTTTGAAACTCATGTCGATGATGTCATTGTTAGATCTTTACTGTACTTCTAAGCTAAATTGTGTATTTGCATGGGAATATAATAGGTAAAAGATGCATATTTAGGCCCCTGAAGCTTGCAGAGTTGTCGGACGTTGATTTGAAATTAATTTTCAAGTTTTGCCTTTTAGGATAAGTAAGCAAAAGGGTTCCCATGTTCGTAACTTACTTTGTTGTTGAGTGTTAATGGGGCACAACTGGGTTGGCGGTCGAATCCAGCTTAAATTCCATCGAGAGTATATAAAAAGCTAATTGCCTACCTAATGAAATTAAGTAAATTTAGGTCCAATGGAAATTATTCAAAAAGCATAGGATTCTCATTGAGATGATTAGGGAGTTAGAGATCATAATGAACAATTTATTGCATCCACCTTTTTTTTGGTTTATCTGTAAATATCGAGTTTAATGGCGTCGGGACGGCGCGTGAGACACGTGCGTTAAGACAGGCGTGATCTGCAAACTTGGTTCAGTGCATTAGTGCGTTGGTATGGCCAACATAAATAGACAAAAGATTGTAGTATTTAATGCACCACACCATCTCCACAGAGATTTGATTTTCATCTTTGCTTCTATCTCTGATTTGGGAGGGAAACCGAAAACCCCTTCTTTAAATCTCTCAACCCTTGCATTCATTTCATTCATTCAGCTCTCCTACTGCCATTTACAGAGGAAGAGAGGGAATCCTAAGCTCAACAATGTTTGCAGCAGAGAATGGACTCAAGGGAGACCCAAGGCTTCAAGCCATCTCTGATTCTATTCGGGTTGTACCCGACTTCCCAAAGAAGGGTTTTTCAATCTCTCTTTTTTTTTTTCTTTGTTGGCTGTTTTTGGGTTTTGGGGTTCATGCTTGCTGGGTTTCCTTGAGGAATTTCATTAAACATGTTTGTTTCTGTGTGGTGTCAGGAATAATGTTCCAAGATATAACGACGTTGTTGCTGGATCACAAGGCGTTCAAGCACACTGTTGACATATTTGTTGATCGCTACAGGGACATGGGTATTTCTGTTGTTGCTGGTAATATATTGTGTTTCTTCTTCATTGTCACATTTTCTTCTCTCATGCCCTGCTTCTTCCCTGTACTTAAAATGCTTGTTAATTTTTTGCTTCAAGCGTTGGATTTTTGTATGCTAGTTTAAATTGTTTTAATTTTTCCTCTTTTGGATCTAGTATATTTTTGCCCTTCATATAAATAGTTTTCCCCTGAATTTTATGGCTCAAATTTTTTCTGCTCTAATAATTTTAGGAAATCTTAATGTGGAATAGGTTTAATGGGTACTTTTAACGAACGAACGAGCTGCTTCTGTATTTTTGAAGTATGTTTCTCTCCCAAATTTTCACGAGTTTATATGTTCAAAACACATTGGGCTTTTGAAGGATTTTTACTGATTTTGGTTAAGAAGCAGTAGGTTCTTGTTCTTGTATTTGAGCCATGCCTATTAGGCATGCGCCAATGTCTTTTCCTTTTTGTTCTTCTTTTTCTTTTTGGGTGTTTTATGAAAGGTATTAGCTATGTTGCATGTTGCTATTAATATGCTTTATGACTTGGTTCTGTTCAGCCTTTTCTTTTCCCTTTGGGCAAATTAGTTAAATAGTTGGATTCTTCATGGTCTTTGTGTTTGATTTCCTGTTATTCTGTCTTAGTGTGTCAAGATATCTTGGGATGAATAGTCTCCTAGTCTACTATTTCTCGAAAAATTTTCTTACGCTAACAAATTTATTTGCAGGGGTTGAAGCTAGAGGATTCATGTTTGGTCCACCGATTGCCTTAGCTATTGGGGCAAAGTTTATCCCTTTGCGAAAACCTGGAAAGCTGCCAGGTATCTAATAGCATTGGTCTAGAATGAATTAGAGCCTCCTAATTCTACTTTTCCAAATGTTTTTAGTTTATCAAAAGGAATGTCTCGTTTTTTATGCATTCAACTCTATATCCACTTTGAAAGCACCTTTCTGAAGTAGTTCTCATCTGAATGATAAAGCAATGAAAAGAATTGATCGATGGGTCAAGGTCTAGGCGGCGTCATCTCTTTTTAATGAAATTCTAATTATTTATGGTTGCATCATGTGCCGTAATTCATGCTGCCTTGACCTCAAGTAACCTCAGAAATCAGGATTTTAATAATAATTAAACACTTAAGTGTTTTTGTTAGTAGGTTTTGTGATTATTTCCATTTTTGGTGTTCTTCATGCATTCTGAATTTTTATGACTGCTACTGCTAACTGCACAGGTCAAGTAATATCTGAATCGTATGAGCTGGAATATGGGACAGATTGTTTAGAGATGCATGTTGGTGCTGTTCAGCCAGGTGAACGCGCTTTAGTGATTGATGATTTGGTTGCAACTGGTGGCACTCTCTCAGCAGCCATAAGATTGTTGGGTATGCTTTGTGCCTTTGTTATTGACACCAGGATCCTTTAACCATTTTCCCCCCCTTCATATTTACTTCTATCTACAATACCACTAATTTATCTTGATCTCATAACTACTAGAACGAGTAGGAGCTGAAGTTGTTGAATGCGCCTGTGTTATTGGATTGCGTGAGGTTAAGGTAACATCAGAACCATTAAAGTTAGCATCTTTAATATGGTTATGTTATCTTCCTTTTCCATTTAAGAATCTAACTAGGGTGGGCTACTTTAGTTAGCTCATTATTGCTGTAAATATGATTTCATTGTCTGTCTACCATTGCAGGGGCAGCGCAGGCTTAATGGGAAACCACTTTACATTCTTGTGGAGCCTCGCGAAATAGATAATTGTTGTTAAGGTACCCCATCTTCTTGCTTC